GGGCGAAGCGATCGTGGGTGAACGCGTCGGTCAGTCGAACGTCTCACCGGTCAAACAAACGTTGAAAGGGAAGCGCGGGTGAAGAGTGACGACGCGACGGACGGGGAAAGTCCTTAAGAAACGGCGTTCACATCGCGAACGGGGTCGTATGGGAAGCAGTCTCACCGCGTACGGCGTGTCCGACGTCAACGCGACTCTCCCGAGGTACGTCCGACAGAGGAACTCGTCGAACTTGGCGCCGATGACGTCGCACGCGCACGACCAGCCGAAATACGCGGTCACGCCCGCGACGAGCGCGAAGTGCGCGGCGGGGGAGAGGTTGATCATCGGCTTGTCTTTGTCCGCGACGGGCATCGGGACGCCGTCGACGTCTTGCCGTCGGTTCGCGTTTTGCACCGCGCTCGCCCACGCGCCGATCATGTCCTCCGCGCCGCCGTCCTTCGCCATCTCCTTCATGTACTCCTTCATGAGATCGTCGTCGTGCAAGTGCTCGTTGTCCTCGTCCATGTCGTCCGAGTACTCGCCCTGGCCTTCGTCGTCGTCGTCGCCGTCGGATCCGGGCTTGAAGAATCCCGCGCCGCCGCCGGAGGCTCTCCCGCCGCCGCCGCCGCCGCCGCCGCCGCCGCCCGTCGGGCTCAGCCCCGGCGCGGCCCACCCGCCGAGCTTCGGGTTCGCGCGCGTGTTCGCCAGCGCGGTCACCATCTGCGCGAGCGTCTTTTTGATCTTCTCCCTGCGCTGCTTATTCCGCGCCGCGCGCGTTCGCGCCTCGCTCTCCATCGCCTTGTGCAACATCGCGGTGAGATCGTCCAAGTTGAAAAACCACGGCCGGTACATCGCGCCGATCGTGCCCGCGCCGCCGTCGTCGCCGTAGCCCGCGAGGAGCTCTTCCGGCTTCTTCGACGACGCGGACAGCATCGCGAGGTTCGCGGCCATCGCGTCCGCGGGCATCGGGACGATGACTTGGATCATAGACGACGAAAACACCGGCTTGTCGACGACGTGCTCCGGATCTTTCCAACCGTCGTGCGCGTCGGCGTACGCGGCGAGTAACTTGTCGTACTCGTCGGGGGTGTACTCGCCGTCGCCGTCGCCGTCGCCGTCGTCGATCGACGCGGGCGCGCGCCATCTCGGGGGGGACGTGAAGAGGTCGCCGCTCGGACGCGCGTCGGGCCCCGCGTCGACGTCGCCGCGTCGACGCCGCCGCGTCAAAAAGTTCACCGCTCTTCGAAACGTGGCGACGGATCCGTCCGCGGCGACGGCGACGCCGGTCCTGACGTCCCCAGCCTCGAACAGAGGTCCGCCGCCCGCGTCGTCCTTCTCCTTCTCTTTCGTCGTTTTATGCTTCATCTCCGCGATCCACTCGTCGATCTCGCGCGCGATGAACGCGCCCTCGCGCACGGGGTTCTCCGACGGCGGCGGCGGCGGCGGCGGCGGCGGCGCGGCTGGGTCTTCTCCCTCCGCCGCCGTCGGAGCTTTCATCGCGTTGAACCGGTACCCGGTCAGCAGCGCGCAGAGCGCGTTCGAGAGGCCTTCGCCGACGACCTTACGCCGTCGGCGCGTCCTCGCTCGCGGCGGCTGCGCGGTTTCGACCGCGTCGGAGGCGGCGGCGGCAGCGGCGGCGGCGGCGGCCGCGTCTTCATCCCCCGTCTTCGTCTTCGTCCGCTTCTTCGCGTCGTTCGCCTCGCCCGCGCCCCACCCCTGCACGAGCGCGGACGCGAGCTCCATCTGGACGTCGTCCGCGCTGAACCCCATCTTGGTCGCGAGCACGGGGTTCCCCCACCCCACGCACAGTTTCCCGAACGCCTCTCCCATGGAGCATCGCCGCACCTCGACCACCCCGAGCGGGATGTCCGACGGTCGGAACAGCCGTCGGCGTTGACAGTACCGCAGTCCCATCGGGCGTCGGATGACGTCGCGCCATCGCTCCGCGAGGTCTTTCGAGAGGAAGTACGCGCTCGCGCCGAGCGATTTGGACGTCCGCGGCGGCGGCGCGGAAGTCGACGACGTCGTCGTCGACGTCTTCGTCGTCGACGACGACGACGACGACGAAGGGAGGATGCCCGCGCGAGGGAGCTGCGGCGGCCACTCCGGCACGGGGACGTCGTCCGCGCCGGCGACGTAGTACACGGAGCCGACGAACGCGGGGGAGCCGGGGCCGCCGACGACCACCTCGTGCGCGGGGTCGACGCCGCCGTCCGCGTTCATCGTCCCCCGCCGACGCGAAGCGCGCGCCGGAGGTTCTGAGACGCGACGATGATGAGATCTAGGGATTTTCGGCGGCGCGTTCTGTTCGATGGCGTGGGCACCCTCATCAGCGAAGTGGCGTCTTCGCCTCTCAACTCTGCTATCGTCAAAACGCTATGACGCGCCCTCATCACATCTTCGACCCGAAGTCTATGTGCAGAATGACCTGCTTTATGTTATCGTACGCGGGCAGCTGGATCACGACGAGCGACGCGACGTGCGCGAGCCGTTCCCTCCACCCCACGAACAACCCGGAGGGGCCGAGCTCGGCGGCGACTTCGATCAATCCGCGTCGTCGTCGTCGTCGTCGTCGTTCGCGTCGTTCGCCGGGGTGACCCGCCGCGGACGCGACCTCCGCCGTCGCGCCGCCGTTCTCTTCCGTTCTTCCCGCGTCGTGAGGGGCGACTCCGGCGGCGCCTGCCACGTCGGCGTCCACGTCAGCGCCGCCCCCCTCCTCCTCCTCCTCCTCCTCCGCCTCATCCTCCGCGCCGCCGTTTATTTCCGACATGATCGTGTCCCCCGGCTGCGACGCCAACGACGCGATCAACGCCGCGGCGAGCGACGCGCTCAGCTGAATCGCGATCGGCGGCACGTCCACGACCCCCACCAACCCTCGCGCGGACTCTCTCAGACTCTTCGACACGACGTCGTACACCGGAAGCTGAAACATCGTGAACGGGATGGTCTTGCAGTAGATGGCGGGCAGAGAGTCCGCGACGCCGGCGACGCCGTCCTCTCGGAACAACCGCTTCAGCGCGCCGACGGTGCCGTCCGCGTAGTCCTTATCCTTCGTCATCTTGATCCGCGTCTGTTCCAGCGGGCACAGCGCGAGCGTGGCGACGAACTCCGCGACCGCGGCGGCGACGATGAGCGAGAAGAGTCGATGATCGCTCGCGAACGCCGTGAGGTCCTCGTAGCCCCCCTTGTACATCGTGAACTTCAACGACTCGAACCCGCCGTACTTGAGCGCGCCGTGGAGAAAGTACCCTAACGCCGTGGACCCTAAACCTTGCAGCAAAACCCCGGGCCCTTCCTCTCTCACGAGCGTCGCGCCGTTCTCGAAGAACGTGCCCGAATATTTTTTCGGATTCAGCTGCACGCGCGTCTTCACGACGTCGAGCGGCACCGCGCCGCTGTGCGAGATGCACGCGCCGATGCCTCCCGCGGCCGCGTACTTGAGCTGGTCCACGAGGATCATCATCCCGCCGGCGTTGCACGTCAGTCGCGAGGCGCGACGACGACGACGACGCGATGAAGATTCGTTTTTATTCCCTCTCGTCGTCGTCCCGATCGTCCCGCCGAAGCGCGCGTACGGCGACGATCGCGGGGCGACCCATCCGCGCGAGGAGAGCGTGCGGTGGGATCGGTCCGCGCGCGGCGCGACCGGCGCGACCGACGCGGTCACCGACGCGGGCACCAACGCGGGCATCGAGACGTGCGTCGCGCTGCGTCGCGCGGCGAGGGCTTGTGCGAGCCGCGGCCGCGGGGGCGGGGGCTCGACGACGCGCGCGCGCGCCGGGCGAGGTGCTGACTGGACTCCGATAAGATCCTGTCACGCCTCGCGCGCACGTGTTTCTCGGAAGGGTGTCGTCAGTCGTGATCCGTGTACCGGACGGCACAAGACGCCGCGGCGCGAACGCCAGCAGACGACGCCCCCGACGCCACCGCGCGCGTCGACGCCGCGCATGATGTCCGCGACGACGCCGCGCGTCGCTGCGGCGGCGAAGACGAAGACGAAGACGACGACGACGACGACGCGGAGGCGTCGTCCCGAACCGTGGGCACCGAAACCGAAACCGCGCGCGTCGTGTTCGGGCGCTCTGATGATGCATCATCTCCCGCCATCATCGTCGCGCGCCTCCCGCCGTCGCGCCGCGCCTCCCAGCGCGCTCCCCGGCCCCGCCGGGTTCAACGGCCGAAGCGCGGACGACGACGCCGTCCCCGACCCGGACTCGCTCTCGCCCACGTGCGCGCTGCCGCTGCGCATCGACACGGACGGCGACCTGCCGTACTCCGAGGCGTCGCGTCGCTACCGACGCACCGTCTATCGCCACGACGACTGGCTCACGCATCGCTCGTCCACGCGGCTGTTCGGCAACCTCTCCGGCACGCTCACCTCCGGCGTCGTGCGGTCGCTGCTGACCGAGGTCGCCGCGGTCGCGACCATCGCGACGTTCACGTGCGCGTGGAACGCGAGCCTGTTGGGTCCCGTGGACTTCCGCGACGTCGCGCGAGACCCGCTGTTTCCGACGCTGCCGCGATTCCTTTTGATGCAGCTCCCCGCGTTGCCGTTCACGCTCGCGTCGCCGGCGCTGGGCTTGCTGCTCGTGTTTCGCACGAACGCGTCGTACGCGCGATGGGTCGAGAGCAGGGTCGCGTGGGGTCGAGTCGTGAGTCACTGTCGGAACGTCATGCGACAGAGCTCGCTGTGGCTGAACGTGGACAGGGAGCCGTTCGTGGTCGCCGGGTCGCCCGAGGTGCGTTCTGTCGTACACTGGTCCCCATACGACCGCGTCGGCGTGGTGAACGCCGTTCCTTGAGGACTTTTGCCGGCGCATCTCTCCGCCCACACCTCGCTTTCAATCCCCGACCGCGACGCCTTTCAACTCCATCTGACGCCTTTGAACTCCACCCCGACGTTCGCTCGTATGGACCCTCGACCCCGAGTGCCGCGCGTCGTTGCACGAGCTGAGAGGGAAGGCGTGGGCGTTTCCGCGGTGTCTGGCGTCGCACGTGTCCGGGCCCGAGGACGAGGTCGCGCTCGCGAGGGAGTTGAGGCTGCGGTTGGGGGAGAAGGACGCCGCGAGGTTGTTGACGGCGCCGAACCGGCCGTTGCAAGCGCTCGCGGACCTGTCCTACTGCATGGTAAGCTTCGCGCGTTTTTTCTTTTTGGAACGAACGGTTCGTTTCGTTCTCCGCGCGTTCCGTTCGCTCGCGTTCTCGCGCGTCCCGTCTCTGACGACGCACGCCGTCCACTCCCACTCCCCGCTATGAACGACACGACAGAACAATCTCCCGATCGACGAGAAACGCCGCGTGGAGATGGATAAGTCCATCATTCTCCTCGGCGACGCGCTAGAGACGTGCGAACGCATATTCACGTCCCCCGTGCCTCTGGTGTACACGCGACACACGGCTCGGTTTTTGTCGTTTTGGCTGCTGCTTCTCCCGCTCGCGCTGTGGGAACCGTTCGGGTCGTCGTGGAACCACGTCGCGATGATCCCGTCCGCGACGCTCGTCGCGATCTTTTTCTTCGGCATCGAAGAGCTCGCGGTGCAGCTCGAGGAGCCGTTCAGTATCCTGCCGTTGAAGCGGCTGTGCGACAACGTGTGGGACGGAGGCGCGTTCATTTTGTACTCTGGTTCCCATACGACCGCGTTCGCGATGTGAACGCCGATCCTTAAGGACTTTTTCGCCGGCGCATCTCTCCGCCCAACACCCCTCGGTTTCAATCCCGACACGCCTCGACGCCTTTCAACTTCTTTCAACTGACGCCTTTCAACTCCACCCTGACGTCGCTTCGTATGGAACGAACGACCCAGGCACGGAGCTCTTCTCGACGTCGGAGACGCTCGTGGACCTCAGCGAGGCGGCGTCGGTGGGGATGCGCGAGCCGCTGGCGCAGAGCGTGCCGATCAGCCGGTCGTAGAGGCGGACGTCGGTCGAGAGGTGTACGAGTACGCGTTAGTCTATATAGAGAAAAGGTAGTCGTCGATTTGATTTCGTTCCGTTTTCAAATCGCGTCGCGTCGCGTCCCATCCCCGTCGACGCCCCCTTCCGCTCTCCTTCATCACTGCGCCGCGTTCACGATCGCCTCCTTCGCGTTCGAGAACGCCCCCACGAGCGCCAACAACTGCATCCGCTCGTGCGTCACGTACGCCAGCCGGTGCTCGACGTCCGCCATCTCCGACACGAGCGCCGCGCGCGCCGTCGGCGGCTGGAGTTGAAAGGCGTCAGAAGCGGAGTTGAAAGGCGCCGAGGGCGGGCGTTGAAAGCGAGGGGTGGGCGGAGAGAGACGCCGGCGAAAGTCCTCAAGGATCGGTGTTCACCACGCCAACGCGGTCGTATGGGAACCAGTGTGTGGGACGCACCATGTGCAGCCGGAAGACGTACTCGCACAGCAGCCTCGCGACGTCGCCGAGCGCGAGCCCGCGCGACGTCTTGATCTCCTCCACCCGCGCCACCGCCTCCGCGAACGGCTCGTTGAGTAACACCCCCGCGATGGCCTCGACGTCCGCGGGGCGCGGTTGCCCGGTCGTCGCGTAGACGGCGTCGGCGTCGAGCGGCGCGGCGGGGTCCTCCTTGGCGAGGTACGACGACTGAGGGTCGTTCGTTCCATTCGAAGCGACGTCGGGGTGGAGTCGAAAGGCGTGAGTTGGAGTTGAAAGGCGTCGATGTGTGTCGGGATTGAAAGCGAGGTGTGCGCGGAGAGAAACGAACGCCGGGAAGAAAAGTCCTTAAGAAACGGCGTGCACCACGCCAACGGGGTCGTATGGGGACCAGTGTGAATACGAACGCGCCTGAAGAATGTTCAGCGTGCGACGCATGTCCCCGGCGCCGAGCGTCTGCACCGCGGCGAGCCCCTCTTCCGTGATCTCCACGCCCTCGCTCGCGACGACGTGCTTGACGCGCTCGCGGACGCTCTCCGGGCCGAGCGGCGCGAACCTGAACCGCGTGCATCGCGACTGCAACGCCGGGATGATCTTAGAGACGTAGTTTCCGATGAGGCAGAAGCGCGTGTGTTTCGTGTATTTTTCAATGACGCGACGCAGCGCGAACTGCGCGTCTTTCGTCATGCTGTCGCACTCGTCGAGGATGATGAGCTTGAACCCGGTCGCGTTGAAGCGCATCGTGGACGCGAAGGATTGGATCTCGTTCCGCACGACGTCGATGCCGCGGTCTGCGAGGAGGAGGAGGGGAAGACGGCGGCGGCGGCGAGGTGAGAAGAGAAGAGATTCGATCGAGATTCGAGAAGAGGGACCGCGGCGTGCTGCGTGTCTGGTGGCGGGTCCGCCTGCGCCTCTCGGGCTCTCCCGCTTTTTTGAAAAAAACGAGCGCGGGGGCGGCGGGATCTCGCGCGATCGACGCACCGTCGGACGCGTTCAACTCCAGCGTCATCTGCGCGAACGCGGGTCCGTACAGCTCCTTCGCGACGGCCAAGATCGTGGACGTCTTCCCCGTCCCCGGAGGCCCGTACAGAAGAAGATGCGGCAGCTTGTCCTCCTTCGTGAGTCGCCCGATCGTGTCGATGATGTCTTTGTGCGCGGCGACGTCCGCGAGCCGGCTCGGGCGATACTTCTCCACCCACATCTGGTTCTTCCGCGCGTCCGTGCCGTCGGCGTTTTTCTTCGCTCGCGCCGCGCCGCCGTCGTTCATCACCGGCGCGGCGTTCTCCTGTCCGTCCACCTCCATCATCGCGCTCGTCATCTTATTACCCTGTAGTTCGCAGAGTCTCGCGCGCTTCTCGATCGCCGTGCCCACGCGAGACGCCCTCCGCGCCCACGCCGCCGTCGTCGCGGTTCGTCGCGGTCCGGGGTTGCCCGCGCGGGGTGCGCGCGATGTCGCCGAGCGTGCGTCGCGCGTCCGCGCGGCGTGCGAGTGTCGGACGCGTCGGCGCGGGCGCGCGCGTCGCGCTCGTCCGCGTAGGCACACCGCGGTCGGTCTACGAAGTTTATTCGATTCGTCCGCTTTCAAATCGGAACGAAAGCAGCTTCAAAACGCATCATCCCTCGCGCGCGCGGACGCGCCGGCCGGGAGGATGTCCGCGGTGGAAGACGTCATGGAGGCGACCGGGACGACGGTCGTGCGCGACTACGCGCCGCCGACGCGCGCGCGCGCGTCGCGACGCGACGGCGCCGGCGGCGGCGGCGCGAGCGTCGCCGCGCTCGCGGCGTCGTCGCTCGCGTCGTTGTTCCTCGGCTTCCTTCTCGGGCGAATCAGCACCGCGAAGAAGACGCCGTCGCGCGGGATGGACGACGACGACGACGACGCCCGCGCGACGCCCGCGGGGAAGCGACGCGCGGCGGCGGCGCCGACGGCGGCGCCGCAGCTCGGGGACATGTCCACGGGGAAGCCGGTCCCGACGCGCTCGAGGATCGTCGTCGCGGCGCCGGCGGAGGAGGAGGACGAGGACGAGGCGGAGGACGCGTCCGACGACGACGACGACGACGACGACGACGCCGACGGCGACGCCGCCGCCGCGCGATGGACCGCGAAGCGCTTCCGAAGGTGGTGCGCGATGAAGATGGGCACCGGCGGCGATGTCGTCCGGTGGTACGTCAGCGGCGACGTGTACGAGTACCCGAGCGGGAAGCTGCTCGCGCGCGTGGAGGGACTCGACGTCGCGCGCGGCGTCATCGAGGGCGACGGCTCGCGGTGCGCGCACCAGCTCTCGCGAAAGTTTTTCGTGTTTCGCGACCCGGTCACGAACGCGGTCATCACGCGGCACGACGGCGCCGCGGTCGCGCCGATACGGTACCCGTACCAGCACATCACGTACAGGAGAGAGGGCGACGGCGGGACGCTGACGACGGAGGTCACGACGGGGACGGGGGAGAACGTGCGGACGACGGCGGGGAACGAAATCTCGGCGAGGCGCGCCGTCGGCGGCGGCGGCGGCGGTGAGACTGCTTCCCATACGACCCCGTTCGCGTGGTGCACGCCGTTCCTTAAGGACTTTTCCCGTCGTCACTCTTCACCCGCGCTTCCCTTTCAACGTTTGACCGGTAAGACGTTCGACTGACCGATCGCTTCACCCACGCAGGCGGCGGCTGCGGCGGCGGCGAGTGCTTCACGTGCCCGGTGTTTCTGAACCTGCGCACGCCGAGCGGGGGCGTCTACGAGGCGTACGAGAACTACGACTACTTCCACGACGCGGCGGGGGGGATCTCGAATACAGCGAAAACGAATACGCACGGCGGTGGGGGGTTATTCCGTTCGCCGGGCGGCGCGGGCGCGCGCGGCGGCGAGGGGCACCGGATGCAGTGGACGCGATTCGGCGCGGCGGCGCCGTTCGCGGAGCGCGCCGTGCTTCACGCGCTGTCGTGGCGCGTCGCGTCGCACGAGGAGCTTCCGGAGAGTATTAAAACGTACGTTGACGAGATGTTACCGCTGTGGAAGGACGCCCCGCGGGATCTCGCGGAGATACGAGCGATGCAACAGGCCGGGTAGTGGGCGGCGGGGAGTGGGCACTCTACTCGTAAGTTATTGGAAAAAAAAATTGCTTCCTCGACCGTCTCTTCGTTCGCGCCTCGGGACGACGGCGCGCGGCGAGATCTCGAAGATCTCGACTACTTCCGCGCGCGCGAGGGCACGTCCGCGCGATGACGACCGACGACGCGCCCGCTCCCGAGGAACCGCTCACGACGACCGCGGAGAAAGAGGCGTGGCTCCGCGAGCGAGGCGTCGAGATCGAGTCCGCCGCCGATCGCGCGTCCAAGGCCGCCGCGCGGAATCAGAAGAAGCCCGCGACGACGACGACCATCGACGGCGCGTCTTCCGCGTCCGCGCACACGCGCGCGTTCACGTACGTCCTGATCCCCGCGGACGACGCGAAGCCGTTCGAGGAGCGCGTCGCGATCGTCGACGCGGACGCGCCCCCCAGCGACGCGCTCGTCGAGATCCTCCGCCCCGTCTTCGCGGGCGGCGGCGGCATCGACGCGCGCGCCGCGCGCGAGCAAGCCGTGCGCCAGTTCGGCGAGAAGGGCGCGGCGGTCACCGCGGCGGCGCTGGAAAACGTCGCCGCCGACGGCGCGACGGAGACGTTCGCGCTCGTCCGCCCGTCGGACGCCAACGGCGAGCGCGGCGTGTCGCTGTACCTGGACGAGGTCGGGCTGCTGAAGGGGTCACCGCACAACGCGCGCGCGTCGGCGTTGGCGAGGGCGTGCGGGTACGACGACGTCGACATCCGCGGCGACGTCTTCGCGGGCGCGATCGGTATCACGCGCGACGGCGAGCGCGTCAGCGCGGACTTCAGGGTTAGCGAGCTCGACGGCGACGCGGCGTGGCTCAAGGCGGCGAAGGCGGAGAACTACGAGCACGGGATGAAGATGAAGAAGTTCCAGGAGTCGCTGGGCGACCGCGCCGGTGGACTCGTCTCCGGCGGGATCGATATGACGGGCGGCGGCGGGAATGGCGGCGGGATGCCCGGCGGTCCCGGCGTGGATATGAACGGCAACGCGTTCGCGTGGTGTCAGACCGACGACGAGGTCGAGATCATGGTCGACGTCGACGCGGATATCGTCGCGAAGGACGTGGTCGTCACGTTCCGGCCCGACGGGTTCGCGGTGCGCGCGAGAGACGAGGTTATGCTCGCGGTGCCGTCGTTGTTTCGAAAGACGCGGCCGGACGAGTGCACGTGGACGCTCGAGCGGGGCGGCGGCGGTGAGGGCGGCGAGGGGGAGGGCGCGCGAGGACGCGTCGTCGCGACGTTGGCGAAAATGGACGAGGAGGTGTGGGACGCGCTGAAGTCGGTGTGATGAGCGCGATGGACGAAAGGGTGGTCGCGGAGAGAGAGAGGAGCGAGCGTTGCGTTGATGTGAATACAACTATCAGCCGACGACGAAACACACAGCTGTGCGCTGCTCGCCGCGCCCGTCGCGTCGCGCGGACAATTTCGCAAAAAATGACACGTCCGGTCCGAGCTCGGAAGCAACGAGGAGGGATCTGGGACGACGCGTCCGGGGGCGACAGACGACGACGCGCGCGCGGGAACGGACGCGGCGCGAGTCGAGAGGTCGCATCGCGCGCGGGAAGGAGGGCGAGGCGAGGCGTCATGCCGCGAGAGGTGGGCGGCGTCGAGGTCGCGCCCGAGGAGACGCTCCACGATTTCGCGACCGGGTCCGTGTGCGACTGGTGCGCGGAGCGATGCGAGGGCAACGACGAGCTGAACGCGCTGTCGTGCACGTTCGCGGAGTGTCCCGCGAGCGCGGCGGTGTATCATCAGGACTGCCTGGAGAAGTACTTGAAGACGATCAAGCTCGAGAAGTGCGCGCGCGCGATCGCCGTCCCGGTCGCGACGCGGCGTCGGCGTCGGCCCCGTCGCGCGTCTCGTCGTCGTCTCTCGCAATTCGCGTCACCGCCCCGCCCGCGCGGATCTCGCGCGCCGCCCTCGCCGCGCGTTTCCGACGTTCCGCCCCCCGCCCACCCCGCGCGCGCGTTCGCAGGAGTCGCAAGACCGGGTTCAGATGCCCGCGAGGGTGCAGCAAAGCCAGCGAGTACGACAGGCCGTGCCCGGGCAAGGTGCGCGTCGTCGTCGTCGACCGGCCCTCGGAAGAACCGACCGCAACCCAGAGAGAAGCGGACGGGGGCTTCTATCGTTTTTCCTCCTCGCGTCGCCCGCCCGTTCGTTCGTCGTTCCGTTCCCTCGTCGTTTACCGATCCGAAACCTTCCGCAGGTGTCTAAATCGCACCCGATACACGCGTGCAACGAGGAGACGAAAAAACGACGCAAGGAGAAGGCTGCCGCGGTGGCGGCGTCCCCGGAGGTGCCGAGATACGGCCCGGCGGCGAAAGCGGCGCGCAAGGAGGCGGCGGAGAGAGAACGGAAAGCGAAAGAGGCGTCCGAGGCGAGCGCGCGCGCGGAGGAGCTGAAACGTCTCGCGAAATTGAAACGAACCGAGACGAAAGAGACGAAAAAAGCAGCCGCGGCGCGGGCGGCGGCGGCGCAGCGAGAGGCGATGGCCGCCGCCGCGGCGAACGCGAGACGCGAGCTCGGGTGCGTTCTATACACTGGTCCCCATACGGCCGCGTTCGCGTGGTGAACGCCGATCCTTAAGGACTTCTCCCGGCGCATCTCTCCGCCCAGGGTCCCTCGCTTTCAATCCCCGACCTCGATGCCTTTGAACTCCACCTGACGCCTTTGAACTCCAAGGTTGCATCGGCCGGGCGAGCCGCAGGCGGCGCCCTCGCGACGATCTGTGGACCGAACGTCGATAGACCGGCCGTCTATCGGCGGTGGAAACGGCGGGTGGACCGCCGCATCCGCGCCGGGGATGGAGCGGAGCGGAAGCGGCGGGTCGTGGGGCTCGGGCGGCGGCGGGTGGGGCGGCTGCGACGACGGCGCCGCGCCGCGGTCGAGGGCGACGCCGCTGCACGAGTTCACGACGTTCTCCATCGGCGGCGGGAGCTCGCGGGACTCCGGGAGCGAGTTCGACGCGAGCGAGGACGCGCCCGCCGCCGCATCGAACGCGTGGGCGGGGGCGCAGAGGGCGGCGACGCATCTCGGAGCGCAGCCGTCGGGAGGCGGCGGCGGCGGGTGGGGCGCGCCGCCCGGGTATTCGCACCCGCCGCAACCGCCAGCTGTACCGCCGCCGCCCGGGTCTCCGGGATCGTTCCCGTCGCTCGCGTCGACGTCGCAGTCACACGGGGGGCGTCAACCTCTGCCACCGCCATCGCGACCACCACCGGGGTTCGCGTCGCACCCGTCGCACCCGCCGCCGCAGCACGCGCAGCAGCAGCACCAGTGGCAGACCCGAGGGGGGCACCATCACGGGGGCACCGCTCAAAATCAAACGCATCAACCCGCGCGTCAACCCGCGCATCATCAGCAGCCGCAGTGGTTGAGAGCTCCGGAGCCGCCGCCGCCGCACCCTCAGGCGCCGCCGTCGCGGGATGATCCCGCGCCGCCGCCGCCGCGCGCGCCGCCGCCCGGGTTCGCGCCCGCGACCTCGTCGGCCGCGGAGGACGCGCTCGGCCACCTCCCGCCGTCGGCGCGAGAACGAGTCGAAGAAGCCGCCGCGATGGTCGCGCCCGGTCCGATCACCCCCGCGCGGCGTCGCTGCATCGCGGCGCTCCTCCATCGCGCGGCGACGCGCGCGCTGACGCCGCTGAAGAACATGGGCTTCCAAGACTGGCAGTGCCGCCTCGCGGTGATGCGCTTCGGCGGCAACGTCGACGCGGCGGTGTCGTGGCTCGTCGAAGGCGGCGCCGGGAGCGGGCGCGACGTCGAGGCTGAAGCGCGTCGGTGCGCGCTCGAGGGCGCGCCGCTGGACGTGACGCGAGAGCTCGAGTCGCTCCGGGAGGTGTACACGCTGGGGTTCGATCAGACCTCGGTGGACGAGGCGATCGCGGAGAAGAGCGGCGACATGCACGCCGCGGTGTGCGGCTTGTTCACGCGAGGGCGCGACCGCGACGGCGGGGGGTACGTCTCGTCCGGCGCCGGAACGGGGACGTCGAGCGCGCACGCGCCGTCGACGCCGTCGGAGAACTCGCCTACGAACACGACGCGACGGACGTCGGGGACGAACGGGGGAGGGTCGAGCAGCGCGAGCGAGGTGGGCGACTTCTCGCACGCGCATCCGCCGCCGCCGCTCGGGTCCGCGTCGGAGTCGAATTCGAATAATTCGCAGCAGAGCGCTTACGGGCTGTTCAGCGGCGGCGGCGGCGGCGGGGGGTCCCCCGCGGTCAGTCGCATGTCGCACCTGTTCGGAAGCGGCGCGGACGAAGACGCGACGACGCAGCAGCAGCAGCAGCAGCAGCCTCCGTCGGCGAGCGGCTCGCTCTTCAGCGGCGGCTCGCTCTTCGGGAACGGGTCGTATTCGTTATTCGGCGGGAACTGACGACGCGCCGGGGGGGCACTGTGCACGCGCTGTACGACGACGAGTCGCGCGACGACGCGCGGGAGGACGCGGGGAGGACGAACGCGAACGGAACCGAGACGGAGACGGAGACGACGACGAGAAAGAGACGAGACGATGTGAAAGACACGAACGAGCACGACGATCGAAATCGTTCATTCTGCGCTAAAAGTCGAGCGCGTTTCGCTAAAACGTTCTCTAGCTAGTAGCTACCACGGCTACGCGTCCGCCGGATCTTTCTCCTTCACCTCTTCCAGCCCCATCTTCCCGCTCGCCCTCCCGCGGAGCAACCCCAACCCGTTCATGAGCTGCAACTTCCCCCACGCCTTGGACGCTTTCGCTCTCGTCGTCTCGTCTGTCGTCTTGTCCATCCCCACCGCGAGCAGATACCCGAGACCGGCGCCCTTCGCGTCCGCGGCGGCTTCCCGCACCGCCGCCGCCTCCTTCTCGTCGCGCGACGCGAGGTCTTTCTTTCGCGTCTGCATGCGCGTCAACAGACTGCTCTCGTTCGCTCTCTCGACCGCGGCCATGGTCGCCTCGCCCTTCCTCGCGGTCTCTCTGAGCGCCTCCAAGTCGCTTCGGCGCTTCGCCATCTTCGCGAGAAGTCGCTCTCGGCTCCGCGTCTCGAGCTCGTCCTTGACCGCGACCGCGCGCTCCTCGAGGTTGAAAATCTCGATCGAGAGCTCCCTCGCGCGCCGCTCTTTCGTCGCCACGATGGCGTCCGCGGCCTCTTTCCTCCCGACCGCCTCCGCGAGCGCCACCTTCGCGTCGCGCAGCTTCTCCTGCGGGCGATGCCACGCGAAATACGTTCATCGGTCAGTCGAAAGTGGACGCGATCAAACGTTGAAACCGAGAGGTGGGCGTGGGTGGGTGAAAAACGTTTGTTCCGTAGAACGCACCTGCAACTCCTGAAGAGTGTCAGACGAGATCGACTTGAACTTCTCCATCAACGCCCTCTGATCCGCCATCTTACGACGAATCGCGCGCACCTCCTCGACCGCGCGCGCGAGGTTTTCGTCCGCGTCCGCGCGCTCGAGCTCCGCGTCGCGGAGCTCCGCGTTCGTCGCCGCGAGCGCCGCGTTCGCGTCCGCGAGCTTGACGGCGAATTTTAAATCCCGGACGCGCAACAGCGTGTCGTAGTCCATCCTCGCCTGCACGACGGCTTCGCGTTTGTTGCTCGAGTCGTCCACGACCACCTGTCGCAGTCGCCGCCACAGGACTTTGCCCATGCTCGGCGCTTTTGCGCCGCGTCGTTTGGTGGATCTGCTGGACGACGACGTGGCGGTCTTCGCGGAGCGGGCCGTCGCGGCGGTGGCCCCGGAACGCACCGTGTCCGCGTCGTCGTCGTCGTCCTCCTCCTCCTCCTCCTCCTCCTCCTCGGACTCTTCTTCCCGCGCGAGGTGACTCTTCCCGAATCGCAAGATCGCTCGTAAGCGCGCGGCGGCTTTCTCCTCTTTCGCCTTGATCTTCCTCGCCTTCTCCGCCTCCCTGATGCGCGACATCTCCTCCTGTTCCCTCTTGTTCTCGTTGATGTTCTTCAAGTGCGCGAGCAACCCGAGGTTCCCTTCCTTCTCGTACACGCTCGGCTCGGGAAACTTCAACGGGTTGCCCTCGGCGTAAAAGTTCGTCAGCGACGGGCAGTCCGCGATGTGAAGCGGCAGGGATTCGAACCGACACTCCGCCATCCACAGCGTCTTCAGCTTCAGACACGGCGTCAGGTCCGGCAGCGCGCTCAGCGGGTTCTTGCCGATGTAGAGCGTCTCGAGCTGACGCAGGGTGCACACGCTCGCGTGGACGCTCATGAGTCGGTTCGAGTGCGCGCGCAAATCGCGCAGGTTTTTCATCTTCGAGCAGTCGGGCAAGAACGTGATGAAGTTGTCGTTCAATCGCAAGACTTCGAGCGCGGTGAGCTCGGAGACGTGGCTCGGTAAGAACCCGATGCTGTTGTGCGACAGGTCGAGCGTCGTGAGCGACGGAAAGTGCGGATGAATCGTCGGCGCGTGGAGGAGCCCTCGGTTCCCGAGGTCCAAGGTGACGGCGTAATTCGGCGTGTGCCGTAACTCCCTCACCGCGGCGGTTTCGTTTATGAAGCGCGGCTCGAGCGCGGACAGCGGGACGTCCGCGAGCCACCACGGGATCGCCCCCAGGGGATTCTGCGAAAACGTAAACGTCTCCAGTCGACTCGCGCGACGCGACATGTTCGGCGCGTCCACGCTCCTCAGTAAATTCTTGGCAACCTTCAAGACCACGAGCTTGTGCAGCTCCGCGATGTCGTCCGGCAGCGACGTGATCTTGTTCCGCTCCGCGTCGAGCGTGTGGATGTCCGCGCACGACGTCGCGGCGGAGACGTCGTCGATTTTGTTCTCGCTCGCGAGGAGCCTCGTCAACCCGCGCGGCAACTCCGGGAGCGCGCGCACGTCGTTCGACGAGATATCCAGGACTCTCAACGAGACGCACTCGCGTAACGACACGATCGGGGACGTTATCTTGTTCCGCCCGAGCTCCAGCGTGTGAAGTTTGCGACACGCGCCGAGCCACTCCGGAACCGTCGAGAGCTCGCACTCCGCGGCGGTTAAAACGCGCAGATCGAACGCGGTCCGCGACACGTCCGGGATCGCCCTCAGCCTGTTCCCGTCCACGCGCATCTCCTGAAGCGTGATGCAGTGTTGGATCTCGTCCGGGAGCGACGTCATGCGCGCGCCTCTGAGATCCACGACCGTCAGCGAGACGAACCGCCGCCAAAACCCAATCTTAGGGTCGTTCCATACGAGCGAACGTCGGGGTGGAGTTGAAAGGCGTCAGAAGCGGAGTTGAAAGGCGCCGAGGGCGGGGATTGAAAGCGAGGGGTGGGCGGAGAGATGCGCCGGGCAAACTCCTTAAGAAACGGCGTTCACCACGCCAACGCGGTCGTATGGGGACCAGTGTATAGAACGCGCCTTATGCGCGACGTATCTCAAATCCGGCGGTCGCTCCCCCCCGCGCGCGTCCCGTCGACACGCGGCGGCTTCCTCGTCCTCGTCCCTCCCCTCGAGCCGCGCGCGCGCGTCGCAGCGCGCGATTCTGAGCGCCGCGGACAGCTCGCCGCCGGTCGCGCGGCGGTCGAAGACGGTCACGTCGTCCTCGTCCCAGTCCCTGACCAAACGCGTCGCGCGCAGGTACTCGCGCACGGCTCTCAACCCCATGTCCGCGACGAACGGCGGCGGCTCGCGCAGACGGTCGTTGCCGTCCAAGTCTAACCTCGTCAGCTCCGGGAGCTCCGCGATCCACGTCCCGCCGAGGTCGCGCAGGTCGTTGCGCGAGACGATCAGCGCTTTGAGGCGCAGACACCGCCCGAGCGCGGCGGGGAGCGTCGCGAGGCGATTGTCCGACGCGTCGATTCGCTCCAGCCTCGTGAACCTCGCGAGCGACGACGGCAGCTTCGCGATGAAGTTGTGCGACACGTCGATCGCGCGCAGATTCTTCGCGCGGTGCGGCGACGACGGCAGCTTCGGCGGGACCCTGGACAAGTTTTGATGCGACCAGTCGACGGAGTGAATCGTCGCAAATCCTTCGGCGTCGTCGTCCGTCGCGCGCTTCCTCGGGACGGCGCGAATCAACGCGCGCTCGATCCCGCGGCGCGTCGTCGGCGGTCTCGGCGCGAGGAACCGCGGGAGCTCCCCCGGGGCGAGCTCGGAGTTCTCCTCCTCCGCGTCTTCGACGTCGTCGTCGTCGTCGTCGTCGTCGTCGCGGTCGCTGCCGTTCCACTCCACGCTCGCGTCGTCCTCGTCGGATCGCACGTCGACCCAATCGTCGACGTGCGCCTCCGCGACCGCGGCGACGAGCGCGCGTTGCCACAGCGCGCTCTTCGGTTTCGGTTTCTTCGCCGCGGCGTCGGCGGGCGCGTCGCCGCTCTCGTCGCCTCCTCGCGGCGGCGACGACGCGCGGAGTTTCGCGGGGGCGACGTGCGCGTTTCGCGCGATCCCGGCGTGGTTCAGCCGGACGTTCGCGCGCCCGCCGCCGAGCTCCTCCTCGAGCGTCTCGCCGCTGATGAGCTTCATGCGCATCGCGCGCGGGCGCCGTGGCGCGTCTCCGCGACGCGCGCGCTCACGATATAAGAAGGTCGTGGTGTGGGCGACGCGACGAAGGACCGTTGAACTAACATTTCTTCTCGTCGTCCGTCGTTTATTTTCTGGGAAGGTGCCGACTATGCTGGACTGGAGTTTTCCGCCGCGTCCCAGCGCGACTCCTCCGCGTGCCGAGACCGACGCGCGTCTTCACAACAGTAACGGTTGTTACGCGCGCGTTACGCGACTACGATGACTTTTCTTTATTTCGCCCTCACCCCGTCGGCACGAACACCCTAAACGACTCCGCCGTCTTCCGGAACGCCGCCTCCCGACCCTTCCAGTCCGCCTCCGGGACCTGACACACCATCGTGTACAGCTTCCCGCCGAGCTCCGCGAACACCGCGATGTTATGCCGGTACCAGTCGTCCGTCTTTATCGTGTACTCGAACGTGTAGTACTTCGTCCCCGTACCGCCGCTCGACCCGCTCGACCGCGTGAACGCGTCGTAGAGCTCCGACGTCTTCCCCGAATTAGGCGGCGCCAAGACGTTCCCTAACAGCCACTCCGCCTGGTTCCTCGCGTCGCCGAAGCGATCGAGCCGGAACCCCCCGGGCGGCGACCGCGCGACGATCACCGAGACGTTCTCCTCGCCCGTGCCGCCCATGGGCCCGAACGCGCTCTGCGGCTCTTGAGGGTCGTTCCATACGAAGCGACGTCGGGGTGGAGTTGAAAGGCGTCAGAAGCGGAGTTGAAAGGCGTCAGAAGCGGAGGTGAAAGGCGTCGAGGGCGGGGATCGAAAGCGAGGGACCCTGGGAGGAGAGAATCGCCGGGAAAAGTCCTTAAGGATCGGCGTTCACCACGCGGACGGGGTCGTATGGGAACCAGTGTAAATATGAACGCACCTTGCACCGTCTGCCCGAAGATTTTCGGCGGCGCCGCGCGCGTCGCCGGGCCGGGATCCAACGCCAGGCGCGCCTCCCTCTGGTTCGCCGCTCGCGTCGCCATCGTCGCGTCGCCCAGGTACGTCTCCGGGTACGTGAACTCGTACCCTTTCTCCGGGTTGTAGCACCGTTTCATGCCGTTCACCGGGTATAAGATGTCCAGGCGAAGCGACGCGGCGAGATCTTCGTTCAGGAGCTTGCCGGTCACGCCGAGGAAGTTGCCCCCTAGCGCGAGCGCGGTCGTCGCGAGGACGCCGAGGAACACGCGGCGAGGCGACGGCGGCGCGATCGCCTGCGAGTCCAGCGCCATGTTCGGGCCGCCGTAGCCGTAGGACGACGACGACGACGACGTCGACGACGACGTCGGCGGCGGGAGCGGCGAGGACGGACGATCGCCGCTCACGCTTTCGGAGGACACGTCATCCTCGTTCGCGGACGCGGCGACGCGCGCGGGACGACGCCGCGACGACGACGACGACGACGACGACGACGACGGCGACCGCGACGCCACCGCGAGTCGGCGGCGCGGCGCGACGCGCGTCGCGGACGACGCGCGGACGCTCGGGAGGGGACGCGCGGCGGCGAGCATCGCGGCGTCCGTGCGGCGCGCGAGCTTCTCTGACGAGGACTCGCACTCGTTGGGCCAGGCTCTCGCTCTCGGAGGTGCTGGCGTCCTGTCGGCAATTCATTGTTCATTGTTACGCGCGCGGCGAGGCGGACGCCGGGTCGCGATGACGCGCCCGCGCGAGCCGCTCGTGATCCTCCGCGAGGCCGCGCTGCCGCTCGGGATGGACGCGCCGTGGGCGTCCTCGAGCGCGCGGCGCGGCGAGCGCGGCGAGCGCGACGACGACGACGACGACGACGGCGCGTCGTTCTCGGGGAGGATCGTCGCGAGCGGCGGGACCGTCTCCGCGCCCGTCGCGACGCTGCCGCGGCCGCTCCTTCTCGCGTCCGCGTCCGACGACGCGCCCGGGGACGTCGGCGCGCATCCGGACACGCTCCGCGCGCTGTCGCTCGTCAGCGGCGACCTCGTGGCGCTGACGTCGACGGCGAGCGGGGAGTGCCGCGTCGCGCGAATCGTCGCCGCGACGCGCTGGGGAGAGGCGACGGCGGATCTGGACGAGGAGGAGGAGGACGACGACGACGACGACGGTCGAGGCGGCGCGCTGACGCCCGGGGTGCTGTACCTCCCGCCCGGGATGCGCCGCGACCTCGGCGTGCACCTGACGGAGGCGACGGCGACGGCGAGCGGCGCGCGGCCGTTCGCCGCCGCGTCCGTGCGCGCGCGACGCGTCGAATCGGAGGACGCGATCCCGCGCGCGGGGGCGATGACCGTGGCGGCGCTGCGCCGCCCGCCGCCGTCGCTGCCGTCGCCGCCCACCGCGCGGGAAGACCGGTGGGTCCCCGGAGGGGCCGCGGAAGCGGCGCTGGGCGCTTATTTCGCGACGCCGAGGCGCGTCGCGGTCGGCGACGTGTTCGCGGTCGCCGCGGACGATTCGGACGAAGACTCGGACGACGACGACGACGACGACGACGACGCGGCGGCGGCGGAGGCGCGCGAACCGTTCTACTTCGTCGTGCTCTCGCTCGAGCCCGACCCCCCGACGGACGACGACCGCCGCGATCGCCGCCGCCGCCGCGACGGCGTCGGCGGCGTGATGCTCGCGTCGAGGGCGTGGACGCGGTGCGCGCTCGCGCCGCGCGGCGCCGCCGCGGGCGCGCCGCCGCCGGGGCTCTCTCGGTTCGTCGCGCGCGGTCCCGTCGGCGGCGGCGGTCGACGCGTCCGTCGACCGCCGCCGCCGCTTCCCACCGCGCGCGAGCGCGGTCGCGTCGCCGCGACGTTAGCTCCCGCGCTGTGCGCGAAGGCGTCGAAAGCGCTGCGGCTGCGAACGGCGCTGCTGTTGCACGGCTCGAGCGGGGTGGGGAAACGCGCGGCGGCGGCGGCGGCGGCGGCGGCGCTCGGCGCGTCGTTCGTCGTCGCGTCGTGCCACCTCCTCGTCTCCGACGCCGGCGGCGGCGCGAAGCGGCTCGCGTCCGAGATCGACGGCGCGTTCGAGCGCGCGGCGTCGTGCGCGCCGAGCGTGTTGTATCTCAGACGGTTCGGCGCGCTGGCCGCCGCCGCGGGCGGCGGCGGCGGCGGGGGCGGCGGCGGCGGGGGCGGCGGCGGCGGCGGCGCGTCTTCCGTCGTCGCGCGAGCGCTGCGACGCGCGATCGCGCGGTACTCCGCGACCGGCGTCGACGACGACGGCGGCGGCGGCGACGGCGCGCGAGACGACGAGGACGACGCGGAGGCGCAGAGGGCGCGTTCCTCGTCGCGCGAGGCAGCCGGCGGCGGCGGCGGCGGCGGCGGGGGAGATCCATCGTCGTCGTCGCGCGGGATCGTGCTCCTCGTCGTCGGCGTCGAGGAGCTCCACGACATCCCGGAACCGCTGCGACAGCTGTTCACGCACGAGTTGAAGGTGTCACCGCCCTCGGAGACGCACCGCATCGAGACCCTGCGCGCGTGTCTCGGCGTAGACGACGACGACGACGACGAAGACGCGGAGGAGGAGAAGGTCTCCGCGGCGTTTTCCGCGGCGGCGGCGGCGACGTCCGGCGCGTCCCCGCGCGACGTCCTCGCGCTCGCCGCGGAAGCCTCCGCCTCCGCCGCGATCAGGGGCGGCCGCGACCGCGGGGACCCCTCCTCGCCGGGCGCGCGCGTCGCCCCCGAGGACGTGCGCGCCGCGGTGACGTGGCTCGATCGACGCGCTGCGGCGGCGATCGGCGCGCCCTCCGTCCCGACCACCTCTTGGTCCGACGTCGGCGGGTTGGAGGACGTCAAGGCGGCGATCCGGGAGATCGTGGAGCTGCCGCTGAAGCGGAAGGCGCTCGTGCGGCGCGTCACCGGCGGGGTCGGCGGGCGGAGCGGCGCGCTGTTGTACGGGCCGCCCGGGACGGGGAAGACGCTTCTCGCCAAGGCGGTGGCGACGGAGTGCGCGTTGAGGCGCGTTCGCGTGATTCGATTCACGCCGGTCCCCATACGACCGCGTTCGCGCGGTGCACGGCGTTCCTTAAGGACAGGACTTTTTCGATCCCGACGCGCCGCGATGCCTCACGACTCCAATAACTGACGCGCCCCCGCGCTCCCTCCGCCCGTATGACGTCGCCTCGTGTGGGCAAACGCCCTCGCTCAGGTTTCTCTCCGTGAAGGGTCCGGAGCTCGTGAACATGTACGTGGGCGAGTCCGAGCGCAACGTCCGCGAGGTGTTCGAGCGCGCGCGCGACGCGGCGCCGTGCGTGGTGTTCTTCGACGAGCTCGACGCGCTCGCGCCCGCGCGCGGCGCGGGCGCGGACAGCGGCGGCGTGATGGACCGAGTCGTGTCTCAGGCGCGTTCCGTAGTCACGCACTGGTTCCCGTACGACCGCTTTCGCGTTGTGAACGCCGATCCTTAAGGACTTTCTCTCTCGGCGTTCGTTTCTCTCCGCGCACCCCTCGCCGCTTTCAATCCCGACACACCTCGACGCCTTTCAACTCCGCTTCTGACGCCTTTCAACTCCACCCCGATATCATCGCTCGTACGGTATACGACCCTCAGCTGTTGGCCGAGCTCGACGGCGCCAACGCCGCCGCCGCGCGCGACGACGACGCCGGCGGGCTTCTGTTCGTCGTCGGCGCGACGAACCGCCCGGACCTCGTGGACTCGGCGCTGCTGCGCCCCGGGCGGTTCGATCGGCTGCTGTACGTCGGCGTGGACGCGAGCGTCGACGGGCGCGCGCGGGTGTTGACGGCGTTGACGAGGAAGTTTACGTTCGAGGAGGAGGAGTGGGGGCGCGCGAGCGGCGGCGGCGGCGGCGGCGGCGGCGGCGCGGGCGCGGGGAGCGGACGGTCTCGCGTGGTGGAGAAACTCGCGCGGATGATTCCGGCGCGGTTCACCGGCGCGGACGTGTACGCGCTGTGCGCGGACGCGTGGACGCGCGCGGCGAAGCGAGCGATAGCGGTCGGCGAAGCGAGCGGCGGCGGCGGCGGCGAGGAAGAAGACGAAGAAGAAGACGGATCAGACGCGAGAGGAGACGGCGGCGCCGTCGTCGTCGTCGTCCGCGGGTCCGACTTCGTCGACGCGCTCGGCGAGCTGACGCCGAGCCTGACGGACGAGGACGTCGCGCACTACGCGCGCATGCGCGAGGGGTTCGAGGGCGGGAGAAGCGGTAGGTCGCGTTAGTTTGCGCTTCCGACGCGCGCGAGAGAAGTAGACCAGTCGAAAACATCGCTCTCGTCGTCGCAAATATTAAACCGATCGTCGCCTCTCGTCATCACTCTCGAGGGCGCCGTCGCCATGGCGCCCAACTTCAACAGCCCGAAGCAGGCGCTCGAGCAGGGCGTCTGCGGCCAGCACGGGTGGTCGAGCCGGTATTTCCAAGACCCGGACACCTCGCGGTGGTGTGTAGAGGTGCGATGGGGCGTCGGATCTTCCCAGCGGCAGGTCTTCGTCAGCGACGACGAAAGCGACGCCGCGTCCAAGCCGGGGATCAAGAAGGGCCACGCCGCCGCGGCGACGGTCGCGCTCGAGGGGCTGACGGAGATCCTCCGCGCGGCGAACGTCAAGCCGTCGCGGACGATCGACGAGACGTTCGGGCCGCGGTTCGACGCGACGTGTCGCGTGCTCGGCGGAGGGCATGGATTCGAGAACGGGTGGGATGCGCTCTGGGCGTGCGCGCCGTCCGTGGTAGCCGTGGACGTGGAAGGGAACCAGCGCACCCCGCCGGTGCTCGTGCAAGTGTGCGCGCGCGTCGGCGCGGACACGCTGTGCGTCCTCGAGACGCCGAGTGTCGCGGAGGGGCTGAGCGAGAACCTGCGGCGGCTGCTGGACGACGACGCGATCGTAAAGGTGTTTCCGCGCACTGGTCCCCATACGACCGCGTTCGCGTGGTGAACGCCGATCCTTAAGGACTTTCTCTCCCGTCGTCTCTCTCCGCCCACCCCTCGCTGGTTTCAATCCCGACACACTGCGATGCCTTTCAACTTCAACTGACGCCTTTGAACCGTGAAGGTTTTTTGCGACGGCACGAGCGGCGCGGATAAACGCTCGCTCGGCGTGCGTTCAACGTGTAACGTGCTCGACTTGGAGCACGTCGCGACCGAGCTGGCGGGCGCGACCGGGGTGCAGAGGGGGCTCGCGCGGATATTGAACCTCGCGTGGCCGGACGCGACCGTCCGCGTGACGAAGGATGCGGCGGAAAAATCGTCGGTGAAGTTTTTCGCCGCGATCGAGCGGGGGACGCGGCCGCCGCTCTCGGGGTTGCACGATATTCCGCCCGACGTGGTCAGGTACGCCGCGATGGACGCGTGGTGCACGCTTTTAGCGCACCAAGGGCTGCAGCTGTTAGCGCGACGCGAGGGGATATCGATAAAGGGCTAGCTAGTCTACGGCGTAGCGGGGTCTGGTATAGATGAAAATTATTACAGCGATGTTGTACAACGGAGTCATCAACGCTCGAGCGTTCGCGATCTCGACGCGTCGCGGCGCCCCCGTGGGGCGCTTTCCGCGACGCGCGTCACGTGCGCGACGCTCGCGCGTGATGTGATTTATTCGCGGTGGCGATGCTCCCGTAACGCACGCCTCGCGTTCGTCACCGCCCCCGCGTCCCAAAGCGTCCCCGCGAGTAAGCACGCGAACCCGAGATACGTCGCCGTCGCGCACGCGGCGCCGACGACGCTCAGACACCGAACGTCCGCGTGCGCGCACCCCGCGCGGTACATCCCGACGTCCGATATCACTCCGCCGTCCTGCAACACGTGCCGGGTGAGGTCCAGCATCACGAGTGGTATCGACGCCGCGGCGAGCGCGATCGGGCCGCGACGGCGGAATCCGCGGCGTCGCGACGACTTCCAGTGGAGCGCCTGCGCGAGGGTCGAGGGTCCATACGAAGCGAAGTCGGGGTGGAGTTCAAAGGCGTCAGACTTGGGAGTTGAAAGGCGTCGAGGTGTGTCGGGATTGAACGCGAGGGACCCTGGGCGGAGAGACACGCCGGGAACAAAAGTCCTTAAGGAACGGCGTTCACCACGCTGACGCGGTCGTATGGGGACCAGTGTGAAGGAGAACGCGCCTGCGTCAGGTTCGTGAGCACCGCGAGCGTCACCGCGAACGAGACGGAGTGCGACAGCCTCTTCGACGCCTCGCTCGCGCCGACGCCGACGAGCGACGCGAGGAGGAGAGGCCAGCATCAGGATCCGACGAGCGCGGGGAGGGAGACGAGAAGCGCCGCGACGGACGCCGCGAGCGTCGTCTTCGTTTCGGCGTCTTCGGATCCGCCCTCGTCGTCTTCTCGGGCGGACGACGCGACCGCGACGCCGCGCGCGAGCTCGAGATCGGCGTCCTCGGACGCGCCTCACGCGACGCACGCCTCCTCGTCGACGACGTCGTCGTCTCTCGGAGCTCCTCGCGCGGGGAGGAGCGCCTCGCGCAGCGGCGCGGGGTCGTCGGGCGGCGCCATCGGGGGGGCGCGGGGCGGACTGATGACGAGAGCCTCGAGAGTCCGCCGCTGCGCGCGCCCGCGCTCGGAACCGCCGAAAGCGAAACGACCGTTGACCCGTCCGAGCAATGGCGCGGCGCCATTGCGACGCGACGCGCGCGCGACACGCGCACGATGGACGCGATCATGAAAGCCGATTACGGCGACGCCGCGCAGAAGGCGGTGAACGACGCCGCGTCGAAGAGCGTCGCGCAGGTCCGCCTCCCACCCGACGACTCGACGCCGGCCCGTCGTCCGCGCGCGTCCGTCGACCGAACGCGAACGCTCGTCGGAGACATCCGAGAATCTAAATCTAACGCCGCGGCGCAGCTGTTGTCGCGCTCGACTCGACCGGACTCACGCGTCCTTCTCCCTCCCCATCCCTCCCGCCCCACCCTCGACGAGCAGCGCCGCGAGCGCGCGCGCGCGCCGGACATCCCGCGCGCGGAGGACAAGCCGTTCCGCCCGCCGTTCTGGGACAGCAAAGCCTACGGCGAGCCCTACGGCGACTTCAACCGAGCACCGAAACCAAAGCCGGTGGTGTTCGTTGAGAGAGCCCCCGCGGGGGTGCCGACGACGGACCTGAAAGGCCAGCCGATGCGCGCGCGCGACCGCGCGGCGATCGCGTCCGAGAAGGCGTCGCTCGCCGCGGCGAAGCACGTCCGACGGAGAGAGACGCGAGAGAAGCGAGCGGAAGAGCGTCGCGAGGATCCGCCGTACGCGAGATACGTCGCGGTGGGCGCCGAGGCGCGTTCTATACACTGGTCCCCATACGACCGCGTTGGCGAGGTGGACGCCGATCCTTAAGGACTTTGTCCGGCGTGTCTCTCCGCCCACCCCTCGCGTTCAATCCCCGCCCTCGACGCCTTTCAACTCCGACTGACGCCTTTCAACTCCACCCCGACATTCGCTCGTATGGAACGACCCCGAGGCGCTGCAAGACGCGGAGGACAAGATGCGCGCGGCGCTGAAGAAGCACAGGAGCCTGCACGCGGGGGAGAAGGAGATACTCGCCGCCGCGCTCAGACGCGCGGCGGCGGCGACCGGCGCCGGCGCGGGGGAGAACGGCGGAGGAGGAAAGAACGCCGCGCCCCTCAGAGCGAATGTTGTCGCGAATGTTACCGTCGTCGCGCCGAGACAATTCGTCGCCGCGTGGAAATCGTTGGGCGTCGACGTCGCCGTCGACGTGGCCGCCGCGGCGTTCAACAAGTACGGTCAAACCCGCGAAGGATCGCTGCCGATCGACGTCTTCGTCGACGCGCTCCTCACCGGTCGATCGCGCCTCGTCGGCATGCGATCGGACATTCGCAAGGGCGCGTTCGTGGGAGGGAAGCGGAGAGACGCGGACTTTCAGGGGAAGATTTTGTACCCGCCCTGTCGCAAGGGCGTGTTCACGCCGAGCGGCTGGGACGGAAGCGAAGCGGCGCGGTCCGCGTCCGCGCCCGACGCGACGCTCGAGCTCGAGTTCGTGCACGGGTACGCGCGCGACTGCAACGCGAACAACTTGCACTACACGAACACCGGGGAGGTGGTGTACTGCGCCGCGGGGCTGGGCGTCGTCTACGACAAAGGTATCGATCGCGCTGGTCCCCATACGACCGCGTTCGCGAGGTGGACGCCGTTCCTTAAGGACTTTTCTTCCCGGCGTCGTCTCTCTCCGCACGCCCTTCGGTTTCGACATGACGTTCGACCGAAAAGACGCCCTTTCTTCGTCTGACTTCAACCGACGCCCTTCTTCGCCTTTCGACGCCCGCGTTCCCCGCGCGCAGACGCGCACTCGCAGCGGTTCTTCTTCGGGCACGACGACGACGTCAAGTGCGTCGCGATCACGAGGGAACGCGACGTCGTCGCGACCGGGCAGCTCGGCCGCGCGCCGATCGTCTGCGTGTGGGATCCGAAGACGTGCGAGACGCTCGCGACGTTGCGGCACCCGCCGGGGACGCGAGGGATCGCCGCGGTTGGGTTTTGCCGCGAGAGCCGGCTGCTGGCGTGCGTGGGCATGGACAATAACCACACGATTTTCGTGTGGGATTGGCGGCGGGGGAAGATCGTCGCGGAGTGTAAAGGGTGGAACGACGTCCCGCCGAAGGTGTACGGCGTCGTGTTCGACCCGTTCGGGCCGGATCCGAGCGCGTTCGTCACGTACGGCGTGAACCACGTCAAGTTTTGGACCAACGCGGCGTTCGTCCCGGAGCCGCCGGAGGAGGAGGAGGCGGCGGCGGGGAAGATTAAATCGAAATCGAATTCGAAATCGAGCGCGCGACGCGGCGCGGTCGCGCCGCCGCCGCCGCCGCCTAAGAAGCGCGACTACTCGTACGTCGAGGACAGCGGCAAGTTCGGCCCCGTCTGCGACAAGCACGCAGTCACCGCGGCGACGTTTCTCCCGAGCGGTCGTCTGCTCACGGGCACTCCCGACGGCGCCATCGCCGTGTGGGGAAAAGACCGGCGGATCGTCCGCGTCGTCCGCGCGCACGCGAAAGGCCCGGTGGTCTTGCGCGAGGACGGCCCGCCGACGCACCACGGCGTGCGGTGCCTGAAGCTCCGCGGCGACGACAAGACGCTGTTATCCGCGGGCGCGGACGGGCACGTGATCACGTGGGACGTCTCGAGCGGCGATTTAAAAGAGACGGGCGTCGTCGGCGCCGTCGCGGTCAAAGCGGATACCGTCACCCCCGGCGGCTCTTCCGCGTCGGCGCCGATCTTCCGCGGGCTGGACTGCATGCCCGGGTGCGACGTCTTCATCGCGGGGACGCGCGGCTCGGACGTTTGGGAGGTGGACGACACCCCGCGGGTGTTGATCGACGGCCACGAGGCGAGCCTCAGCGGCGTCTGTTGGCATCCGACGACGCCCGGCGAGTTCGCCACCGCGAGCGAGGGCGAGCTCGTGTACGTGTGGTGCGCGCGGACTAAGCGTCTGAAGCGCGCGGTCGGGTTACCCGGTAACAAGGCGAGGTGCGTGGGGTTCTCCCCGGACGGGTCCAGACTCGCGGTCGGGTGCGTCGACGGCGGCGTGCACGTGTTGGACGCGAAGTCGTTGAGGCGACTGAAGATTATCAAGACGCACGCGGACGTTGTGACGGATTTGAAGTTCTCTCCGTGCGGGTCGATGCTCGCGACGTGCAGCGCGGATCAGTTCGTGGACGTCTTCGACGCGAAGCTCGACGCGTACAAGCGGCTGTCGCGGTGCGCGGGGCACAGCGCGACGGTGCGGCACCTCGATTGGTCCGCGGACTCGGAGACGTTGAGGTCGGTGTGCAGCGCGTACGAAATTCTATACTTTTCCCCCGCCTCCGGAAAGCAAGTCATGAAGAACCAGAGAGACCAAAAGTGGGCGACGTGGACGGGCGTCTTAGGCTTCGACGTCATGGGGATATGGCCCGACTTCGCGGACGGCACGGACGTGAACGCGATCGACCGGACGCGCTCCGGGAGACACGTCGCCACCGCGGACGACTTCGGCGGCGTCAAGCTGTTCAACTATCCGTGCGTCGTGCAAGACGCGCCCTACGTCCTCGGGCGAGGGCACTCCTCGCACGTCATGAACGTCCGGTTCTCGCCGGACGACGGGACGCTGATCAGCGTCGGCGGGAAGGACCGGTGCGTGTTTCAGGTGCGTTCTCCTTCACACTGGTTCCCATACGACCGCGATCGCGTGGTGAACGCCGATCCTTAAGGACTTTTGCCGGCGTTTCTCTCCGCCCAGGGTCCCTCGCTTTCAATCCCCGCCCTCGACGCCTTTCAACTTCAACTGACGCCTTTCAACTCCACCCCGACGTTCGCTCGTATGGAACGACCCTCAGTGGGCGCGGCGCGACGTCGAGAAGGAGAAGCCGAAGACGAGGGCGCCGCCGTGGGAAGCGTCGGAGGAGGCTAAGCCGCAGGGGAGGGGGAAACCGCCGGGGTGGGGGACGCCGCCCGCGCTGAAGAAGGCGCAGGGGAGGTAGGGGAGGGTATGATAGGGGCGGGGAATGCGTTAGTGTTGTAGGTCCGTAACCTGGTGTTTTCAGAACGAAAAAGCGATATTATTCTCGCGAGTCGTCTCGGACGCGTCTGGTCGTTGTTGATTTGTCCCAGACCGCGACCGCGAAGGGACGCGTCTTCCTTCCTTCGCCGCCGCCGGAAAGGTCCAGTCCCTCCCGCGCGCTCGTCGCACGCGGACGCGCTCTCCGCGACACCCGCGCGCCGCCGCGCGGACGCGAGCGCGGCAGGTCGGGCGGGCGCGCGAGATCGTCGTCGTCGTCGCGGTCGATCGCGGCGAGACGCGCTCGCGATCTCGCGGCGATCGGGGACGCGCTTTTCTCGGAGAAATGGCGCGCGAAAAGGTTGACGGCGACGAGGACGATTGCCCGCGCGCCGCGTCGCCGTGCCCGTTCCTCCTCGCGATGCAAAAGGGCGCGAGCGACCTCAGCATCGCGGACGATTGGATCTCGCCGCACGGCGCGACGTTCCAGGCGGTCCACGGCGAGCGCGGCGTCCTTCCGCTTCGGCGCGACGACGACGACGACGGCGGCGACGACGACGGCGACGACGCCTTCTACGACGCGATCGAGTCGGCGGCCGCGCCCGCGACGCCGACGCCGCGCGCGCGATGCCCGCTGCGCGGCCTCTTCGCGACGACGTCGACGCCGCGATCGCGGTCGGGCGACGAGGAGGAGGACGAGGCGGCGGCGCCCGCGAGGAGCGACGCGTGGAGTTTCCGCGGCGCGCTCGCGCGGCGCGTCGCGTCCATCTCCTTCTCCGCGCTGGGACGCGTCGGCGGCGGCGGCGGCGGCGGCGGGTGGCGGAAGCCGTCCGGCGGCGGCGGCGGGAACGGCGACGACGCGCGCGCGTCGAAGAAGACCGCCGACGGCGGTTCATCTGCCTCCGCGAAGAACAACGCGCCGCCGGCCTCGAAGTCGTCGACGGCGTCGACCTCGGCCGCTTCCGCGTCCGTGGAGGCTTCGGTGAAGTCGTTCGCCGCGTCCAAGTGCCCGTTCGCGAAGGTGCCCGGGTTCGACGCGCTCGTGAAGTCGATGTTAACGGCCGCGGAGCGGCCGTTCAAGTGCCCGGCGCCGATCGTCGCGATGCGCGCCGCCGTCGCCGCGCTGCCCCAAGTGAAACGGCTTCGTCCGGAGCCGTTACAGAGTAAACTCCTCGCGGTGGCGGCGACGGCGGCGTTCGTCAACGCGCCTCTGGGCGCGCTCCGAGAGCACACCGAGAAATTTTCTTTCCAGTGGTTCGTCGCGATACACGCGTCGATTCCGTTCGTCGCGAGCTTGCGCAAGGCGGTGGGGATGCCGAAGCTGGCGATCCTGTTCACCGTCGCCGCCGCGGTGATGGGGCAGTACGCGGGGAGCCGGGGCGAGCGCGCGAGACTGCGCCTCTCCGCGGCGGCGGGGAAAGAAAACCAAAACAAAAACCAAAACATCCGAAACCCAAACCGAGACGCGTCCGCCGAGCGGCGGCGCGCGAAGAAGCGCGGCGCGCCCGAGGACGACGCGCCGCCGCCGCTCGGCGGTCGCGCGTCCTCGCGCCGCGTGCGCGTCGGCGGCGGCGGCGACGTCTCCGGCGGCGCGCGCTCGCGAGGCGGCGGCCTCCCCGGCTTGCCCAAACTGCGAGGGCTCGGGTCGCCGGTGTTGGCGTCGGCGACGGCGGCGGCGGCGGCGGCGGCCGGGGACGACGCCGCGCCGCGGCGGCGCGTCGCGGTGAGGTGAAGCGCGCGCGACGAGGGAGAGGAGAGCCGACGGCGAGAACCCCGCGTCGACGCGGCGTTATGCCTAGGTGTTGTAAGAGATGTACCATCACGAGAGGCGCGAACGCCGACGCCGACGCCTCGCGCGTCGTTCACTTTGTTCATCACGCGCCGCGGGATTTCATATTCGCGCGACTTTTTCGACGACGACGACACGGCACGCGTTCGACGCGTCATTCGTTCCGCGCGCGCAGGTCGCGACGATGGCCGAAGCGGAAGCCGTGCCCGTCCCCCCCGCGGCGCCGCCCGCGGATGAGCCGGAGACGTGCATCCCCCCGCCGCCGCGCCCGGGATGCGACTGCGGTGCGCGCCGCTCGTCTCCCCGACCGATCGAACGACCGATCGATCCGATCGATCAGTCGACCGCGCCCCCTCGTCGCGAACCCTAAATCGTCGCGCGAAGCGCTATCCATCCGCTGACCCCTCGCGCGATCTCACCCCCCCAACCCCAAAAAAATCCAACAGCCGTCTGCGTCCCCCTCGGATACGAAGGCCCGACGAACCCGTCCGGCCCGCTGTCGAACTTCAAGCCGTACAAGCTCGTCAAGGTGGACGCGGACGGCGCGCGGCGCCCGCTGACGAACGCGGAGATGAAAGATTTCGAAAAATCGCACGGCGCGCAGGCGGAGTGGAACAAGCCGCTGACGTCGTGCGCGCGGCAGTGGCAGCGCGCGTGCGAGAAACTTCTTCACCGATTGATGCAGGACAAGAAGAAGTCCTGGTGTTTCAAAGAGCCCGTGGACCCGGTCGGTTTAGGCATCCCGGACTACCCGGTGATCATCAAGCATCCGATGGATCTGGGCACGATCGAGACGATGTTGAAGAAGGGAGAGATCAGCGCCCCGGACGAGTTCATCGCGCTCGTGCGGACGGTGTTTCGGAACGCGTACGTGTACAACGGCACGGACGATCCGTCCGGGGTGAGGGACACCGCGCAGAAGGCGAGCTTGTTCTTCGAGAAGGAGATCGCGAAGATGTGACGACGACGTTTTTGACGAGACGAAAGATGAGCGAATGAGTTTTTGTTTTCTCTCGTCGTTCCCGTCCGTTCGCGCGAGGCAGGCGCCCGCTCGAGAGGAGGACGACGGGAACGCGGCGGTCGCGCGGGGAACGCGAGGAGGGAGGAGGTTGGGGGTAGACGCGTGCGTTAGGCGACGGAAATATCATCTCGGTCGCGAAATCGAAAGCGCGTCGGTGGCCTCGTCGCGGTGGTCTCCTCGAGAGAATAGGCACTCCGCGGAAATGCGGAATTTCCCGGCCGCATTCCACGACGATTCCGCACTGTGTTTGGCGCGTCCGCACGGCGACCTCACGTCCCCGCGCCGCGATGGCGAACGCCATCGCGACCGCGACCGAGGAGATGGGGTACTGGTCGCGCGCGCCGATGACGCCCTCGCGCGCCGCGGTCGCGGTGCAGGCGGCCGCCAGAGGCTGGCTCGCGCGCGCGCGATTCCACCGCGACGCGGACGCGGCGTCGCGCGCGGTCGTCGCGCGCGCGCGCGCGGTCGCCGCCTCGCATCGCGCGCAGGCCAAGGCGAGCCTCGCCGCGGAGGCGGCGACGAGCGCGGAGCTCGCGCGGATGCTCCGGAGCGTCGTCGCGCGCCGCGCGGTCGTCGCGAAGACGGGCGCGCGCAGGCTTCGCCAGCGAACCGTCGTGCACCGATGCCGCGCGATGTTGCTCGGCTGGGCGAGGGTCGCCGCGCCGACGCGCGCGAAGCGCGCGTTCGCGGCGCGCGCGGACGTCGTCCGACGCGCGCGCGAGCTCAAGACCGCCGAGTCGCGCGCGTTCGCGTCGTGGCGCGCGCTGGGCGTCGCGCGCCGAGCGCGTCTTCGCGCGCACGCGACGGCGCGCATTCGCTTCCAAATTCGCGGCGTCTCCCTCGCGCGCGAAACCTTCTCGCGGTGGAGCGACGTCGCGAGCGTCGCGCGCGACGCGACCGCGGCCGCGACCGCGGAGGCGCTCAACGCGCACGCGCGGCAGCTCGCGATCCTCGAGGCGTCCGCCGCGGCGGTCCTCGCGAAGCGCGACGAGGTGGAGGAGAAGCTGCGATTACAGATCGCGTCCGCGCACGCGCGCGAGCTCGCCGCCGAGGAAGCGCTTCACGCCGCGCGCCTCGAGCTCTCGGACCTCTCGCACGGCGCGCTGGACACGCCCGCGCTCGAGCTCGACGCGTCGAGGGTCGAGCGCGAGGGAAAAGACGCGGAGACGATCGGCGAGCTGCGAGACGAGCTCGCGCGAATGCGATTACAGCTCGAGGAGGCGAACGCGAGGGCCAACGCCGCGGAGGACGCGCTCGCGACGGAGAGGGAGGACGCCGCGGCGCTCCGAGCCGCCGTTTCCGATGCCGCGACCGCGTCGCGCGACTCGCTCGAGCGCGAAACGAAGGCGGCGGAGGAGGCGAAAGTCGCGCGAGGCGCCGTCTCCGCGTCCGTCGCGCTGCGGTTCAAATCCGTCGTCGCGGAGGCGCGGCACAGGACCAAGTCGGAGAGCGAGGCGCGCTCGAGAGAGGCGATCCTCGCCGCGCTGCGCGACGAGTTCGAGGCGCAGGCGGAGGAGCTGCGCGACGCGAACGAGACGATCGCGGCGTTGAAGATCGAGATCGCGACCGCGTCCGCGAATGCGGCGGAGGCGCGCGAACGGGCGAGGGAGGCGGAGGCGAACGCGAGGGCGCAAGAGGAGGCGATTTCGGCGGAGTCGGCGGCGAAGGACGCGGTCGCGGAGACCGTCCGAGCGGAGAAGGACAAGGAGGTCAGGGCGGTACGCGCGGAGGCGAGCGAGAAGGAGTTCGAGCTCGAGAGCGCGAACGAGATCATCGCCGGTCTGAACCGCGAGTCAGAGCGCTCGAAGCGCACGTGGAACGACGCGCGGAAAGCGCTCGACGCGGAGCTCCGCGACCTCCGCGCCGCGCTCGACGCGCGCGATGCCGCGCGCGACGACGAGATGCGCGCCGCGAGCGGCGAGCTCGACGCCGCGCGCGCGGAGATCGCGGCGCTGCGCGAGATGGTGACCACGGCGAGCGCGGTGGAGGAGGCGACGAAGAGCGCGGCGGCGGACGCGTTCGACGCCAAGGGCGAAGCCTTCGCCAACGTCCTCAAAGCGCTCGACGAGAGAGAGACGGAGTGCGCGCGAGTCACCGACGCGCTCGAGACGACGCGAGGGGAGCTCGATGTGACGCGCGAGGAGGCGGAGCGGATGCGCGAGGCGATGGCGTCCTCCGCGGACGCGTTGGCGACCGCGAACGCCGCCGCGCGCGACGCGTTGGAGGCGAAGAATGCGCTCCTCGACGCGGTGCGTCCCATACACTGGTCCCCGTACGACCGCGTTGGCGTGGTGAACGCCGATCCTTAAGGACTTTACTTCCCGGCGTTCGTTTCTCTCCGCCCGCACCTCGCTTTCAATCCCGACACACCGCGATACCACCTTTCAACTCCGCTTCTGACGCCTTTCAACCACCTCAGTCGCGGACGGAGCTCGCGGAGAAGGACCGCGAGCTCTTGCGGACGCAGGTGGAGCTCGAGGACGCGCACGCGGAGTTGAGCGAGAGGCCGGCGAAGGGCGCGCTCGAAGACGCGGCGGCGAAGACGGAGGCGCTCGACGCGGAGATGGACGCGATGAGAGCGACGCTCCGAGCGACGGAGGACGAGCTCGCGCTCGCGCGCGACGACGCGGCGGAGCTGACGCGCGAGCGCGCGGCCGCGATGGAGGCGCTCAGCGCGGAGCACGCGGCCGCGATGGAGGCGCTGAGCGCGTCGCTTCGAGCGCGCGAAGAAGGGGTCGAGACGCTTCGAGAGACGCGCGCGTCCGCCGAGGACGCCGCGACGGCGGCGCTCGAGACGAAGATGTCGGAAAAAGATAAAGAAATGTCGGAAAAAGACGCCGCGTACGAACGCGTCGTCGCGGACCTCGAGACGGCGCGCGCGGAGATGGACGCGCTCGCGGCGAAGCACGAGGGCGAGACGCGCGCGAACGCCGCGCGCGTGCTCGAGGAACGCGACGAGGAGCAGGCGCGGTTCGACGAGGAAGTGAGAGCCGCGGAGGCGCGAGCGGCGAGCGCGGTGGAGGCGGCGACGAAGAAAAAGGACGACGAGATCGCGGCGTTGCGCGCGACGCTCGAGGAGGCGACGGTGGCGCGCGAGAGGGCGGCGGACGCGGCGAGAGACGCGGCGGAAAACGCGCACGCGGCGGTGCTGAAGGCGAAGGACGACGAGCTCGCGCGGACGCGGCGGGATTGGGCGGACGCGGTGGCGAGGCGCGAGGCGGAGGCATCCGCGGAGGCGGCGGCGCTCGAACGCGACCTCCGCGCCGCGCGCGAAGCGTCGGAGAACCTCCTCACCGCGCGGCTCGCCGCGTCCGAGGCGGAGCTGAGAGCGACCGAATCCGCGGCCGCGGCGCTGGACGCGCGGCTCGCGAAGACGACGCGCGACTTCGAGCGACACAAGGAGCGCCCCGTCTCTGACGCGTTCGCGACGCGTCTGTTACTCGCGGCGGCGGCGACGGCGTTGTTCTTCTGGACGCTAGGGTGGAGCACGAGCGCGGCGTCGAGACGGGACATGGCGAGGGCGCTGGCGCAGAACGCGCACGACGCGGAACACTGCCACGCGGACTACGGCGAGGTTTCGGCCGCGCTCGCGAACGCGCGCGCGGATCTCGCGGCGGCGGCGAGGACGACGCTGGCGGTGCCGTTTCTTCCGTCGCGGTATGTTCCCGCGATCTTCTCGCTGCCGTTGCATCCGTCGACGGCGGCGACGTTTTTGTTCGCGATGCTGTGCGCGCTCGCGCGGTATGGGAAGCGACTGTTCGGCGGCGTCGAAGGTGAAGGCGTCGTCGGCGACGTCGGCGGCGGGCGGGCGGACCTCGAGGAGGTCGTGAACCTCGAGGAGGTCGCCGGTTGGCTCGCGTCGCCGCCGCCGACGACGGGGAGAGGCGGCGCGGGAAGCGCCGACGACAGCTCGACGGTCGCGGCGGAGGAAGAAGCCGAAGACGCCGCGACGCCCGCGAAAGTCGCGCTTCTGCGGTCGTTCACGGAGCAGGTTCGATCGCAGGCGGAGAAGCTCGAGGAGGAGGAGACGCCGTCGAGGGCGAAGAAGAAAAAGTCGTTTTCCTTCCTCCGCAGGTCGAAAAGCCAAAAAGAGAAGAAGTGACCGAGAGCCAACCACGATTTAGCATAGACGGGCGGTCATGTGTTTATACATAACGTGACTGTACACTACCCTAGTTAATAACGCCCCTGTCGCGTCCGTTGCGAGTATTTTGACGTCGGTCGAGGTCTCAGACGACGACCCTTGCGGCGGCGCCGCGCGCTTCCGAATACCCGAACGTTCCCATGTCCTTCGTGACGACGTTTAACGCCACGGACGCGTGCCCCGTGCTCTGCACCCTCGTCACCTCCCTGCCCTCGCCCATCGCGGGGAACTTTGGGTTCGAAAACTCCGCCGGCCGTCCGCTGAAGAAGCTCGCGATCTGTCCGTCGTCGAGCGGGCGAGGCAGTGTGCCGTCGCGTCGGTCAGTTGAAATCGCTCTGGGTCAAGTTTGAAACCGAGGGACGGGTGAAAAAGAAGACGAAGAAGGGTGGAGGACGTCGGTCACGCGCCTGCTGCACGATCGTCGCGCTCAGGGGCTTGAACAGCGGCACCTTCCTGGTGAACTGCCCGTGCGCGACCGGGAGGTGAATGCACCCGTACCCGCGCACGACGTCCCTGCCGAAGGCGTCGATCTCAAACACGGACAGCACGAGCTGCGGCCATCCGAACGCGTTCGTGGACTTGTACGTCACCTCCACTGGAAAATTCCACACGAGCTTCTGCTCCGGGTCCCCGGAGTTCTTGCGCGTGATCTGCGAGATGCCATCCTCGGGGCCGTCGAGGTGCGTCCAGTCGTCGCCGTGGACGATGGCGTACTTGACGTACGCGTTGTCGCACCCGGGGAGCTGCGGGTTCGAGGACGGGAGGTCCGGGAGGGGGCGTCAGCGACGCGACGTTTTTGAAAAAAACACAAAATGCGCGGCGAGCCGCGGGGACGACGACGGCGACGGCGGCGACGGCGACGGCGACGACGCGCGGGCGGGCGAGCGACGCGCGCGTCGGGGAGGGCGCGCACGTCCGCGAACTCGATCTGTCCGTTCACGACGACCGTGAAAAAGCTCGCTTGCTCCCGCGCCATGACGTCTGTCCTCTGAAGCTCTCCGCGATGCGCGCGTGGACGAGGCGAGGGTGCCCGACGGAACGATTTAAACGGGACGCGGGGTCGCGACGCGCGCGATGAACCGCGTGCTGCGACGCTCGAACCGGGGAAAGGTCGAGGCGATGCGCGTGCGTGGACGCGCGCGCGAGTGTCGAGACGACGCGCGGAAGGCTCTGGCGCGGCGCGCGCGCGCGCGGCGGACGAAACCGGGGCTCGTTGTTGACGCGAGAAAGATTTTTCCCAACGACTTCGACGAACGTCTCGATTTTCGACCAGCCGTTTTTATTCGCCGCGGCGCGCCCACGCGTCGTCTGAACTCCTACTAGACAGATTGATACATCAAGCCGCTTCTAACTATCCTATCGCCGCCGCGATTGATTCTAACACAAGGCACCCACCGCGCCCTCCGCCTCGCCGCGCGTCACTCGGCCGCTCACCCTATTATATTAGCCACCCTTCCCCTGCCTCTGACGCCGCGCTTCGCGTTTCTTCTTGACGTGCTTGAGCCACGCGTATCCCGCGAAGAACACCCCCGCGGAGACCATCATCGGGATGAAATACGACGTGTCCATCACCGTCGCGCTCTTCCGCGGAGGCGCGGGCGGCTTCTCCGGCGGCGGCGGGCTCGGCGGCGGGTATGGCGGCGCGTACGCCACCCTCGAGCCGCTCTGCGTCCACGTCGCGCCCGCCGCCGCCGCGCCCAATCGAGACGTCAACGCCGTCCCGAGCGTCCCGGCGGCGCCGAGGCGCGTCGTCGCCGTCGTCTTCAGCGCGTCCACGCCCGACGGGTCGGCCGCGCTGACCGTGACCTTGAACGTCGCCGCGATCGCGAGCGGCGCGGGCTGAATCACGCCCGAGATGCCGCTCGGGACGGTCCCCGCGGACGCCGCGGACGCGACGTCGGTCAACAGCGGCGGCGCGGACCCGCCGGACCCCGTCAACGCCGCCGTCGTCGCCGCGTTGAACGCCGCGAGCTGCGACGACGCGATGGTCGCCGTGATCGGCACGCGAAGGGAGGGCTGATCCGGCGGCGGCGGTGGCGGGCTCGGCGGCGGCGGCGACGGGTTCGGCGGCGGGCTCGGCGGCGGGATC